TTTATTTTTTATTATTCAATATTTTACTAACAGAATAGTCAAATAGCGAGTTCTTTACAGACAGCTTTTTTCTTCAGTGTCTAAAAATACTTATAATTCTAAGTGAGAAGTCTAACCTCCGTCAGTCAAATGTTCAATTTTGGAATAAAGGGGTGGAAATTAAAACGTTGTTGTTTTTTTGCCGATTCATCGATTAATCGAAAAAATAATCGGCAGCTGAATCGATTATTGAACTAATCGTTAGTTGCAGCCCTACATGGGGCAGAACTCAGCTGGGTTAATGTGGAGTGTTGCACATTAAACTATTATTTTAAACTAACTACAAAGTTGCTGTGTGTCACCACTGATTTTCCCTTGTTAATAAATCTGTTTGCTCTTGTTTAATTCTGTGACTGGGCAGTGGAACACAGTTTCATCGGTAATATTGAGCTGTATCAGGGGTTTTATGAATGAGCCTTTGTTATAGTACCACCCTCTTTTCTCCTCTTGCTCGTTTCTTAATGTAACAACATGTAAACAAACAATGACAGCTCATTAAATGAAATGCTTTTATTATATCCATTTAATTATCAGCTTACCTCTGTTTGTCTGCAGGTCATGAACTGTTGTCGGAGCTGCAGCAGCGCCGCTTTAACGGCTCAGAAGGAGGGAGTGGAGGACAGCAAGGTGAGGAGGCAGTTGTACACATTATTATGTTATACAAATGTACCGGTAACTGCACTGAGAAAGGTAAAGGAGGATGAAATGCTGACAGTTAGGTGCTTTTCATCTTACAGTATGATTTAGTATACTGTAAATTGGTGCTGCATAAATAACTACTAATAATGTTCTTAGTAGTGAAAGTGACTGCAATTACGTCAGAGGGACAAAAGTTGGCCTTTTGCAGATGTGGTGACGTCATGTCTCTCGGTTAGCCTGTGAATGCCGTTGAATCCTAAAGGAACTGAAAGACGAGGCTGTGGATAGAGATGTTTGGACCTTCCTGCTCAAACAGCTGCCCTCATGACCCAACTCCTGAACAAGCAGGAGACAGATGGATGCATGCAAATTTTACTAACAAAAAGAATAGCAAAATAATAGTCTAAAATAAATGTTACAGTAAACCTTAAACTGTGGAGGAGCAGCTGTTCATGAGTTAAATTGATGTTATTGATGTTAAGGAATGCCACAAACATCGTCTCCTTGACTTTTGATTTTAACTGATAACTCCACACCCCTCGAGGTTATTATAGATTTCTAAAAAAAATGTATAATAACGTGCACTATAATTACCTTACAGGAGTTATTTTTCTCTTCATATTACAACAAGCAGAAGAATTACTGTTTTCTGACTAAACCATTTGTTACTTCTGCCCTCCAGGTCCAACTTGGTGCCCCATAGAGGAGGAGCTGTTGGCCCAGCCTCAGGTAATGAAGCTGCTGGACTCTCTCAGGGAGCAGTACACCAAATACCAGGAGCTCTGCAGGCAGCGAAAGAAGCGAGCACAGCTGGATGATATTCACTCCAAGGTCATGCAGGTAACAAACCCATACATTGATAGACAGCAAAAAATATGCCAGTAAGCAGTTAGCTTGCTATGACTAACTTAACTTCTCAGGAAAAGCTTTTTTAATCCTTTTATTATCCTTTAACTTCTTTACTATTCACGTTTCTTAAGGGAAAAATTAACCACCTTATTTAACTGCTTAAAAACCTTTTTTTTCCCACAAAATAAATTTTAGAGCTGTCTCAGCCTGAAATCTAATGTCAAATTCTTTATTTTAACTCTTTAAGGGTCTTTGGTTTAGAAAAGCCTCCACTTTAAGTTGTTAAACATTCATAAAATGTTAATTTTATGGG